CAGATCAAAAGTCCATAAAAAGAACTAAATAAAATGGAGATAAGCAATCTATCAGATGCAGAATTCAAAACACTGGTTATAAGGATACTCAAGGAATTTAGTGAGGACCTCAACAGCATAAAAAAAAAATCCAGTTAGAAACAAATGATGCACTCATTGAAACAAAACAATTAACAGGGAATCAACAGTATAGTAAATTAAGCCAGGAATCAAATCAATGATTTGGAACATAAGAAAGCAAAAACAACCAATCAGAACAACAAGAAGAAAAATTAACCCCCCAAAATTAGTATAGTTTAATGAGCCTCTGGGACAACTTCAAAAATACCAACATTTGCATCATAGTGGTATCAGAAAGAGAAGAGAAACAGCAAAAAATTGGAAACCTGTTTGAGAAAATAATGAGAGAAAACTTCCCTAATTTGGTGAAGGAAATAGACATGCAAATCCAGGAAGCACAAAGAGTCCCAAACAAAATGGACCCAAAGAGGCCTATTCAAAGACACACCATAATTAAAATTATAAAGGTTAAATACAAAGAGAATCTTAAAAGCAGCAAGAAAAAAGTTAGTTACCTATAAGGGAGCCTCCATAAGACTGTCAGCTGATTTCTCAAAAAGAAACTTTGCACACTAGAAGGGATTGGCAAGAAACATTCAAAGTGACTAAAAACAAGGGCCTACAAGCAATATTACTTTACCAAGAAAAGTTATGATTTAGAATTAAAGGACAGATAAAGAGCTTCCCAGACAAGAAGAAGCTAAAGGAATTCATCATCAGCAAACCAATATTACATGAAATATTAAAGGGCTTTTTTAAGAGGAAAAACACTATGGAAAATAAAATTGCAATAAATGCATACCTATCAAGAATTGAATCTAAAAAACAAACAAGCAGAACAGAATCAGAATGAGGTATAGATAATATTCTGATGGTTGTCAGATGGGAGGGAGAATGGACAAAAAAAGGTGGCTGGATTAAGAAGTACAAATTGATAGTTACAGAATAGTCATCGGGGTGTAAAGTACAGCATTAAAAATAGAATAGCCAAAGAACAGGCAGGACCCATGGACATGGTCAATAGTAGGGAAAGTGTGGGACAACTGTAATAACATGAACAATACAATATAATTAAAAAAGAAAAAGAAAAAATTGAATTTAGACATACTAATTTTGAGATATCTATTAGCATTCTCTAAAGGAGATGTTTAATAGACAAGTAATATGAGTCTGGAATTTTAGGAAAAATTGAGAACAAGATACATACATTTGGGAGTCATAGGTATATGAACAGTGTCTAAAGATTAGACTGGATGTTATTATAGCTTAAAATGATAGTCAGTGGATAGTACATTTGCTATAGTAAAAGAAGTTCTGCGTTATATGAAGGTATAAGCCAGGGGTATTTACCTCAGAATGACAGCTAGTTTTGAGAGAAAATTTAAGAAATTGAGATGAAGGCTGACTTCTGTACTGAGAGAAAAATAATAATAGAAATCAGCTAGAAAAAAAGTTGAGGAAAGTGTGTTAAGAATATGTAGTGGCCTTGAGGCAGCAGTAATCAAGGTGCAGTGGAAAAAATTAAAAACAGTTTTGATTGACAACAGCATATACTACAAGAAGGAAGCCTCTTGGGAGCAGGAAAGAAGGGTGCTGCAAAATAAAGCTAAAGAGAAAGGCAAAGGACTTATTATCTAACATCTTGTAATCCATATTAAGGAGACTGAATTTAGATTTAATTTTAGAGAAGTATTAATGGAGGTTGGAGACAACAGCCTCCTGTCAATGATGCTGAATGGCCACCTCACCAAAAACAATGCAATCCTACCAATGACACATAGTTCTCAGTCTGTAAGAATGAGTTCACTCTCCCTTACAATATGTTTCCTCTTTATATTTTATTTCTACAAATCCTGAGATATAAAGTTTTTTTTCTTTTCTTTTTACATTCATTACTTACTGCTTCAGACTCTTTCTAAACTTTACCCAAGTTGTTATGAAGTATGAAAGAGAGAAACTGAGGAAGTTATTTCTCATACTCCCTTATCTTCATCAGTCTCATCATCACTAGTATGACGAGGCCCTTCCTTGAGGCAGCACATCAGCAATTTAGGAATAAATAAGGAGGGTAGGATGAGTAAGAAACTCCAGGAAGCTTCTGAATAAATGAAATTTCAACAAATTCAGATTACAGTGTGACGCTCTCTCCTGCAAATTCACAGAAAAATCATTTTAATGACTGGAGGAATAAATGAATTTCTTACATGTAATTGTTATTCATATTTATTATAAAATGAATAGAATGGAAAACTTGAAAGTAGTTTGTGGTCTTCATAGGATCATAGAAAATTAGAGATAAAAGGACATAGAAATATATTATCCCATCTTCTCATTTCATTGTCAAGGTAAGTAAACCGAAGCCCAGAAATGTTGACTGGTAAAATCTAGTAGCAGTACTTCATAGAATGAAATAACTGGCTTTCAATTGTTTCTTAGTTTTAGGATTGTTTTAGAGGAGTCAGGGACCAAAGTTCCAAGTGGCCCCAGGGGAAAATGAGTAGTGACAAATGAATGTGTTTATATTGCATGTGGTGGCATTGATGTTAACTGATTAAAATTGAGAGAGAGGGAGAGGGATAGAGAGAGAAAGCAAGAGAGAGAGAAACTCCATTCCATGTTGGTTTTTAGACAGCCCCACTGAAACTTAAGGAAAATATGATTAGTGCTTTGAGATTTCACTGTTGTATTGTCTCAGTACTGTTCTTGTTATGTCTTCATTTTGAGCTTCTTGGTACTAGACTTCAGAACTATTGCTGATACACTGCCTGCTCAATCACAGCAAGCCATAGCAAAAGTTCTCAAGGTGACACACTTTGTATTTAGTGATGTAAATTATCATTATTGAGTTTTAGTGTTCTATCCATGACTATCTTGAATTACAAAGTGACACTACTTGGTCCTATTTGCAAGTTCATGCTAATATTAACTCAATATTCTCTCTTTACTTTTCCTGGCATATAGGTAAGGGGATTAAGCATGTTGAAAACGGTGGAAAACTTTAAGCACTACAAGTAAGAGGTATGGAAGGATAGGCTTAGAAGTTTTTAGAAATAATGTGATTTTAGCACTGTAGTTGCTCTTAATGTATGATACAATGAGAGATTTTCTATATAGCAAATGATATATAGAATATGTACTTGCAAATATATGAATATAAAATGTATGTTGTATTTGAAGATAAATAGCATTTATAACTGAGTTATATTATAAGACTAGTTAGATAAATAAGGTAAGGTAATTTGCTTTTTTTGTCCCTTCTCTCCAAAGCAAAAGGCACACAAAAAGAAGTCCTCTGAACAGTTTAGACGATAGTTAACAGCCTGATAACGTTTGGTAGAATCCAGTTGCACAACTACAGGTGTATATAGACCAGGGAAGATAAAAATACTTAGAAAAGGGGGTAAATGATGATGAAAAGTAACAATTCATGATGATTGGGCATACAGGTATTTCAAGATTAATAAGTTCTTTATTCCATTTCCAAAGGCATTATACAGGAAAATAACATTGGCTTTTATTCTATTACTCTTACATATACATCATTATTACGTGTAAATCATTCAAAGATTAAAAACAGTGCTTTTATCCTGAATGCACATTGAAAGCATTTCACTGTTTTTTATAATGGAGACAATATTTCTTATTTGCACAAGAAGAAAAGAGTTCAATAAAATGCTGTATGAATACTAAATGGTTTCCTAACTCAAAACATTAAGTTGGTGATTTATAGCTATTGTGTGCTCATCTGGAAGTGTTCCTGGTAAAGGAGCACAGCAGAACATATTTCAAAAAATCTAGAGTTTAATATATATCCATTTGGCTGATAGTAAAATTCTAGCATGAGGTTCTCTAGAGAATTAGATAATTTAGTTGTAAAATTAATATCTAATAAAATCTCATATCTCAGGAAAAGCTACTTTTTACTTGTGCATTTTCCATAAGATGACCAATTAAATTTAAAATAGAAGGAACTGTTTTGTGCATATAAGACGTGTATATCCTAGATAATTTTTCCCCTACTTACAAGACTTCTCATTTAGAAGCAAATATTGGATAGATTTCTTCCCCTGCACTGTCTATGACTCTTAGTAGGTGATGGAAATATGAGATTGGTAAAAAAATTTTAAAATAAATATGCAATCGAGAAGTATAACATTTTCAAGTATTGTATATTTGCCTAAAACATTTAGAGATATTTCCCAAAATGACTAATAAAATAACTGAAAGATTTGGGAAATGGTGTCACTTGCTGATCATTCTTGCCTAAACCAAGTACCACTCTGCAGTTGAGTGTAGAGTTATAATCACAATCCCATCAGATTGTGTGGTCTAATGAGATCTGAGTGCTTCACAGAAAATGAAGAGTGTATTCCTTTAATAATTAACAAAAAACGCATGTCAATCAGGGATTTCTATACCAATTATAGAAAAAAGAAGCTTAAATACAAAACAGTTACAAGGACCCCCACAAAAATAAAATCTGAAATAAATGAGGAGAAAAAAACAACTGAAACCAAAGAAATAGAAAAGATTGTAAGAAAATATTATGAACAAATATGTGCCAACAAACTGGACAAGTTGGATGAAATAGATAAATCCCTAGAAATATAAAGTCTTCCAAAACAAAATCAGAATAGACATATTACACTTAGTGAAACAAACAGTGATAAAAAAAATAAAACTCCCAACAAACAAAAGTCTTGGACCAGATGGATTCACTGGTGAATTTTATCAAACATTCTGAGAAGAATTAACACCTTTCTTTAACAAACTATTTTTTAAAAATTCCAGAGTAAGGAAGGCTCCCAAGCTCATTTTACCTGGCCAGCATTATCTTAATTCCAAAACCAGGTAAAGAACCTATTAAAAAAAGGGAACTATAGGCCAATATCCCAGATGAACATAGACACTAAAATCCTCAACAAAATACTAGCAAACACATACTCTGGTTTCTCTTCAGATCATATAAATCTTTCACTTTTTACTAAAGCTTTCCACAGAGAAGATCAATCCTGAGTTTTTAATCAATTCTTTGAGGCCTTGTGCTTACAAGGTTAATTAAAAAAATATTAGCAAACCAAATACAGTAACACATAGAAAAGATCGTTCACCATGATCAAGTGGGATTTATTCTGGGAACGTAAAGCTGGTACAACATTTGCAAATTAATAAATGTGATCGCCATAAAAACAAAATGAAGGATAAATACCACATGATCATATCAATAGCTGTAAAAACCATTGGATAAAATCTTGGAACCATTTATGATAAAAACTCTCAGCAAAATGGGAACTAAGGGAATGCGCTTAAACATAATAAAGGTCATATATGAAACACCCACTGCCAGCATCATACTCATTGGCAAAAACTACAAGTGTTCTCCTTAAGATCAGGAAAAACACAGGGATTTCTGCTTTTACCTCTCTTATTTGGCATAGTATGGGAAGTCCTAGCCACAGTAAACAGACAAGAAGATGAAATAAAATACATCCAAGATGGAAAGAAAGAAGTGAAATTGTCTTTAATTGGAGATAACATGAAACTGTACATAGAGAACCCCAAGGAGTCCACCAAGAAATTACTAGAACTGATAAATGAATTAGGGAATGTAGGAAAATACCAAATTATTATCCAGAAATGAGTTGCATTTTTATATGCCGATAATGATCTAACAGAAATATAAATTAAGGAAATGATCCCATTCACAATGGCTTCAAAAAGAATAAAATACCTGAAAATAAACCTAACCAAGGAAGTAAAAGGCCTGGAAAATTATAAGACACTAAAGAAAGGAATTGAAGAAAATATAGATAAGTGGAAACACATACTGTGTTCATGGATAGGAAGAATTACATAATTAAAATGTCCACACTACCCAAAGCAATCTATAGAGTCAACATAATTCTTATCAAGATTCCAATGGTGCATCTCATAGAAATAGATCAAATATTTCAAAAATATATATGGAACCAAAAAGTCTCCAAACAGCAACAGCAATCTTGAAAACAAGGAAGAAAGTTGGAGGGAACATGCTACCTAATATGAAACTACACTATAAGGACATGGTAATCAAAACAGCATGGTACTAGCAAGCAACAGACACATAGATCAAGGGAACATAATAGAGATCCCAGAAATAAGCCCACATTTTTAAAGTTAAATAATATTCAGCAGAGGGAGCAAGCGCATACAATGGGCTAAAAATAGCTTGTTCATTACATGGTAGTGGGAAAATTGGACAGTTGCATGCAGAAAAATGAAACCTGACCACCATTCTCACACCACACACAAGAATAATTTGAAAATGGATTAAAGACTTAAATGTTAGACCCCAAACATAGGCGGCAAAATCTCAGACATTGCTCATACCAATATTTTATTGGCTGGGGAGGATATGAGAAAGGGGAAACCTTTTGCACTGTTAGTGGGAATGCAGAATGGAACAGCCACTGTGAAAAGCAGTAGGGAGGTACCTCAAAAATTAAAAATGGATCTTTCTATTGACCCAGCAATCCCCTTCTGGGAATATATCCAAAGGAATCCAAAATACTAATTCAAAAGAATGTAAGCACCCTATGATCATTGTAGTGTTATTTATAGCTGCCCAGATATGTAAACAGCCCAATTGTCCATCAACAGATGAGTGGGATATAGGGGCTGCAAACAACTAAGGGACATATATACAATGGAATACTACTCAGCCATAAAAAGAAAGATTTACCCTTTGTGATAGCATGGATGGACCTGGGGATCATTATGCTAAGTGAAATGAGCCAGTCAGAGAAAGACAAATGCCATATGTTTCCACTAATGTGTGGAATCTAATGAACAAACTGAAATAACAAGCAAAATGGAGACAGACTCATAGATAGAGAGCAGGAGGACAGTTATGTATGTGGGGGGGTGGTTAGAGGGTGGAGGTACTGAGCAAAAAGTAAAAAGGACTCATTAACATGGACAACAGTGTGGGGCTGTGGGGGAGAGGAGAGTATAAGGAAACTAACTGGTAATGGAAAAAATAAAAAGATAATCTTTACATGAAAAAAAAGCAAGATAAAACAAAGCAAAACATCAGCAACAACAGGTGGCTTGGATCCTAGAATGATTTTACACCTAAGAAAAGAAACAACACTAATTCATGAGCATAGCTACTGGTCCTGGTACCCAGCCAGATCAAATCCTTCTGCTTTTAGAACTACTTTTAAAATGAGAGTGAATTAGATACTGATGACTGTCTGCACTTTTGCCTGCCTCTACTGAAAGGGTACTTATCCAGTTGTGTCAGCAGCAGCCATGGCCACATGCTTAAAATATAATATGGTGAAGTACCTTTTGGGGCTCCTCATCTTACCTAAGTCTAACCCAAGACTAGGGGTGACAGGTCTTTCTGCCTCATGAAAAAGTTGCTCACTCAAGAATAAGCCTGGATCACATGAAATTTGTTTTGCGGACAGCATGATGATTCAGATTTTTCAAAGTAGTCCTTCCTTACTTTCTGTTAACCTGAGGGTAATATGTTTTTAAAGTTGATGCAAATGATGTAACAAAAGATAGACTGTTCTGAAAGTGAAAATTATATAACACACGTATAGGGTGATTTCTCCAATTAGAGAAGTGTATATGGATGTCTCTGTTTGTGTCCCTGAAATATGCACTAAAAGCTGGGTAACTTTTATTTGGCTCTACTCATAAATTGGTTTGGAATTATTTGTAAGTTGCTTGGTAGTGACCCTGCAGTTCATTTATGATAAAACAACAAAAAGTTGAAACTCAAAAGATCAAATAAAAAGAGTGAGTGGAAGAGGAAAGAGTTACAAATTTAAAGTGAAATTGATGGAATTGTTGCTGTTTGACCTTCAAAATATTTATAAATTCTGTGGTTCATTTTCCTTATTTCTATTCTGTAGAATGGAGATAAAATTAATATTTACTTCATATTTTTGTTTTCAAAATTATTTGCATTTATAACATACATAGAGCATCACAGTTTCTGGCTCATGCTAAACACTAAACAAATGTTTATAATTATAATTAATACATTAAAATTATGTGCTAGGCTTGGTACTTGTTACAATTTAATATTTGATATTATATTACATAATCCTCACAATTCTTTTTAACACTTTTTTTTTTGTAGATGAATAAACTTAAGTAACTTACCCTGGATGCACAGGTGGTAAATAAAAGGGAAAAGATCAACACCTAGATCTATGTGTTTTAAAGATCATGCCATATACATTAGGCTACATCTATTATTGTAAAACACTTTTCTACACTCTATCATTTCTGTAATAGAAAAAGGATCACCCTAAAATGTGAACAATAATATTGTGTTTCATAGGTTTTACACATCCCTTTTGTTATGCAAAATGTACCAATCTCCTCTAAGGTTTAAATTAGACATAATGGTTTCCTTCAACCTCCAGAAAATGTGATCTGTAGTCTGTAAAACATCACTGATGCAAGGATATTTGGTAGCATTATATGGTATCTATCATTATTCTTAGCTGATATTAATAATAATGAACTTTAGCTATCTTAAAAAATAAAAAAAGAGATTTATTGGAAAGTTATATTGGATACCATTATATTAGCTAAGACAAAGAATTCTAAGACTGACAGAACCCAAATGAGGTTTGGGGCATAAGAAGCAAAAAACAGAACAGTAATATTTTATTCACAAAAGCCTGGCCAAGACAAAACCACCAATACTTGCAGGCCTCCATCTCCTCTAAACACAACCACTACTACTGCTAGACATGGTAACCATTTCACTAAATTAATTATAACTTCATTTCAATCTTGTATTACTCACTTTAGATTTATAGTCTGAGATGTTAACATCCAATTAGCTGTGCCTATGCTATATACCCATAAACTGGCTGCTACAGAGGAAAGAAATCCTACTAACTAATGCCTTACACAGTAAAAAGTTGGACCATGACCAGCAAAAAAAAAAAAAACAAAAAACAAAAAACAAAAATCTCTGAATTTTATTTCCTAAGTGGACTTTATATTAAAGGGTTAATTTCCACATAAATTTTCATATTTAATTTAAATAATTTAAGATACATCACAATATTTATACTGATTTTTATCTTTGTAATTTATCTTATTTTTGAATTACATTTGACATACAATATTGTATTAGTTTCAAGTGTAGAATATAGTGATTACATTTACATACTTTAGCAAGTGATCACCCCCATAACTATGGTACCCATCTGACATCAGACATAGTTATTACAATATTATTGAGCATATTCCCTATACTTATATTCTTGTGACCATTTTTATAAATGGTAGTTTTTACTTAATCCCTTTCACATATTGCTTTTTTCAATGGTTTTATGAAACTGGTTGTTAATCAAAGGGTATGCCTTTAGTATTGGAATATAGATCAGTGAGATTTATGCCTAAATATACTCTTTATAAACAAGACAAAACGTAACACTTTGAGTGCATGTATGATCCAAACCTCTTCTCCATGTTTCGAATTTTTTTTCACGTTGTTTGAAGATGAATAAGAATTTACCAGCCTTCATTGGTTTACACTTCCAAAAGCTGTCCTTACTTATATGTTTGTAAGAGCATTTAGAGTCCATTACTGCTCTGGCCAATTGATTAGAGCTTTGTCCTGATATATCACAGTTGTGCATTTGATACCCAGTCAGGGCACATATAAAAATCAACCAATGAATTCATAAATAAATGAAAAAAAAACAAATCAATGCTTTTCTCTATTCCTTTCTCACTTTCTCTAAAATCAAAAAATATAAAAATTAAAGTACATTTCTGACAGTATTCAACCACACAACCACCTTTTTATCTAAAGTGGAGGAAACAATATTCCTTTTTCCTTTATATCCCTGTCTGCTGTTATGTTAAATGTTCAAAAATCAAAATACTATTATAAGAAAGAGTTAAAATAATTTATTTGTAAATGTAAATGGGGCTTTAGAATGTAAGCAAGAAATATAGACCCACAGCCAGAATACTAATTCAATATTGAGGAAAAATTTAGGTATCTACAGTGCAGTGTGCAAAAACATAAAC